TTTGTTGGTCTTTTTTATTTCATTGTATAATACATTATGCAGATTTACTTCTTTAGTACTTAGGTGAAGTAGAAAAAAAGTTCTATTATTCTACCATTATCTACCATTACTTAGCTAAAAATAAATAATATATACAATTATATGCAGTCTAATTTACATGCTTAGGGAGCACTGAAGCAAGAAGGGGACATGGAGAGCCTGCAGATCTTGCAAAAGATTCTGGATTCCTTCCTCTTCCCCTTCATTTTCCAACAAAAGCCACACCTAGCACGTCTTCTAGCATGGCTGCAGGAACATCATTGTTTTCTGTGCTCTACCTGCTATAACAAGCCTCACACAAGCTGTCTTGAATCTGGCTTGTATCAACTTACTGCCAAGGAATTTGTGGACACCAGGGAATTGATGACTGTCATATCTAGCAGGTTGAAAAAAATCTTGTAGCACTTTATTTTGTGTGTGAGTTAGCTGATCACTGAGGTCAGCTCCCTTCATGCCAAAATTCTAGTCCACTACTACCTTCAACTTGCTTCTCTCTAGCCCCTGGAAATTAGGAGGAGGTGCTACTGTCTCACTTATGTGGACCATGGACAGCACTGTCACCAGCCTTTCGTCTATCCACAGCATGTACATATCCACTGTCTGGGTGGTCCAGTAATTAACAATTCCTTGCCCTTTCACCTGTGATTTTGTTCTTTCCATCCCAACCACATTTGCCTTCCTTACCTGCAGTAGTGGAATAGTGCTGTCAATAAGGAATTTGTACCCCTTGTCCATGAGGTCCCCATTCTCCATCAAGTTTATTATGGTCTTCATGCTCGTGGGGAGCTCCACATGGGCCTGCCCCAGGTAGGTCACATGATGACATATGATCAGCTCAGTGATGACACATCATAAGCTAACATAACATGACATAAACAAGGGTGGGAAATCACATGATATAGTCGTGTGTCATGATGTGAAAATCACAAATCATCACATGATATGAAGTGAAAATCATGTTAAATTATCATTAACCAAAAGGTGATGTGTGAAGAAAACAAAGAAAAACTCTACGCTCTGGCAAACAATGCCGGCGGGCCGACTTTGAGCGCATGAGTTCGGTACATCAGCCTGAATCACTGGCGTGACGCTGCAGCCTACAGCTGCACACCACTTTTCGAGCGGTTTGTTTTCACGCCTAGCGGCTTCACCTCTCGTGATGGGGTTAAACGATATGATGACAGAATTACATGATATAACTTCACAGTCATGTGACCTGTTCTCATCAACAAAGAAACTGTAAAAATGTAACTGCACATGACATGACATCGTAAAGAAAGGAAAATGTAAAAAATCATAAGAAGGACCTCAAAAAATGTCCATCATGAAGTGAATCTGCCATGGCAAGCATACCTAACCATATCAATAGTGTCAAAGTCAGACCAAAGCATGAAGAGTATAGCATTACCGGGCCAAAATTTTCCATGATGGCCATAGACATACCCGTCCATAAGGGGTTAAAAAAATGATCTGTTAGTTTTTTAGCTTTTGTCAAGAAAATGACAAAGAGGACCTTTCTCATGTGAGATCACAGTTATTTCATAGAACATATCATAAAGAACCTCTTTCATATCCCTTAAAATCTTTTTGGCCACAATTATGGCTAATTTCACAATATATAATTAGTCCTAAAGTCGTGGTTTCTATGTTCTTGTGATTGAAATGTAGGTGTGGAGTGATAATTCTGGTACTGTATAGTATATTTCATCATGAATCTTTTCCTCATCATACATTCCCCCTCCATACACCATACCATTATTATGTATAACATTTTGCATTCATATATTGAAATACTTTATAATACATCTTCATACACATTTTACTGTTTCATAGGATAAAAAATATAGATGTTTCACATATGTTTTACACATAGCAATCTCCATTTCCTTTCATACATGAGTAGTATCTGTGATGACTTTTTCAATCTCTGTAACTTTCTCTATTTGATACATGACAATGAGATTTTCTAGTGAACAAAATTTCAGCTCTCCATCAATTGGCTGCAACAAAAAAATTACTTGGTGAAACTTGAAAAATCATGCCTTTTTTTGCATCAGGAGGCTATACAACATTGCAAGTGTCCTCCACACCTGGTACTAAGGTGTTACATAAGGTTGGAATGAAGTATGACTATTTTGTTATAGATAGCACTCAGCAAGAACAAATGTCAAATGACACTTCACTAACACTTATGGGGATGTGAACATGCCTTAATCCCAAGCCACCTGGGATGACATTGCATACATGATGACATTGCATACATACCATGCTCACTGTGAATTTAATTTATTAATTGTTTTTACAAACAGATGGCTTCACAAGTTTTAAGTTACCAGTGAGCTAACTACAAGTACTACCTGTCTTACCTGTTTACTGTTTTTCTTGATTTTTGATAATATTTTCTGGTATCTAATATTAATGCTAGCAATGTCAATAGCACTATGATAAACAAAATGTCTATAATAATAACACCATCAATATTGACAGCACTAGTAAAAATAAGTGATTTTCTGGGAAACTTAAGGAAAGGTGAAATCAGGTGAGGTAGGTCACAAGGTCTACTAATTGACTTCTCTGTGGCTAAGCAGAGACATTTCACAAAACATCACAGTGAACACATCTACATATTATGGAAAATATATAATATGGAGTTAGTGCCAAGAAAACAGTCTATTACCATCTGGACAAATCAAATGACAAATACAGAAAATGGAAACTGGCAAAATAGATAAAAAGACATGCAAAAATAGAAAATAATATTGCAAAGGCAAGTATCTTGTATCCACATATGAGTGTTCATGAGCCCCCAGCCTACAAGCCACACACCCATCAGATTAGCCTAACCCCCATATTTTGGGCCAGTTGCAAGCAGGAGAAGCCAAGTACAACAGGTGACTTTCAAAAATTCACAAAAACTAAAAAAAAAAAAAAGGGGGGGGGAGAGCAAAGGTAAAATATCCACTGCACACATTTTTGCCCAAATTCATTAGCTTTCCAATTATATGAACATGACTTAGATCTGATAAAATCTGTACAGAAGTCAAAAGTTTTAGTTTGAGGAATGAAACCCAAAAACTAAATATTTATATTCATTTTCTAAATCTTTCCTTTAATTAACCCAACACTGACAGGTATCAGAAATCCCTGAGTGTCATAAATTCTGGTGATTTCTGGCAACATACAGATACTGAGCACAGGAGTCTACCACTAGTAGTGGAACTTTCCGTTCCACGTGCTATGGCGTGTTGCCATGCGTGCAGCCGTACCCAACAGGCCAACCAGTATATTATGAGACTTGTACATGTGACCCTTCTGTAAAGGGTTAAAATTTATAATATCATTACTAGTAAAACTACATTCATATCTCTTTCAAATGTCTTTGGTTACGTGAAGAAATCTTGATTGGTTCCCGAGTTACAACAAAAACATAAAAATTACCTCCATGGATGCAAACCTAAGCAACATGATCTACACGTAAATGAAGTTATTGCTTATCCCAAACCACTTGTATTAATGTTTTCTACCATCTACGTGCTTACATATACATACATTTATATGTGGATATACATGTACACTTGCATACATATACATGTACATATGTATATAAAAACATGAGCATGTATACACATACATACGTAAGTGTAGATACATATGTACATAAATATGTGTACATATATGTGTAAACGTGTGTAGAAGTGCATAAATATGTGTACATGCTTGAAGAGATAACGAGAAATGGTTAGAATAACACGGATTTGTAATTACTGAGTGAGCCTATAATTTTTATTTTTTCATAGGAAATAATAGTTTAGAAAGAGCTGATATTTTGAAACAAACTTGCTATAGTTTCTATCCCACAAACACTTTATTTTCATGATGTAACAATACAAACTGAGTATTTATAGGCTTATATAATACAAGTTTTATAGGTATTTGTCATTTTAGAGGGTATTTTTCATAATTTCCTATTCCATATTTTTTGTATAAAACAGCTGCATTATTACTATTTTGTATTTCCTTGATTATCTGGGCTTCAATGAAAACAAAAAACAAAATCTTTGCAATCCCCAAGGTCTAAGCTGGCAGAACCACATGGTTGACTGCCATATCTAAACATGCCTGTGATTTTGGTTATTTTGTAAGCCTTGAGACTCACCACTGCTCACGCATTATTGTCGAACTCTAAAGTTACATATATGATGTTTGTCAAAATCAAATCCTATCTATTTTCCCACAAATTCAAGGAATGGGGAAATCAGACACAGTCACGAAGGACTACTAATTACTAACTGGGATTTTTTTAACCCAATGACACAGGGTGTTCAAAACAAAAACAAAAACTCTACGCTCTAGCAAACAAAGGCAGCGCGCCGACTTTGAGTGCGTGAGTAGGGGACATCAGCCTGAATCACTGGCTCGCCGCGCTTTGGCGCACAACAGCAGCATACAGCTGCATGCCAGCTTTCGAACGGTTTGTTTTCACGCCAATCGGCGTCACCCGGCACCAAGGGGTTAATAAGAAACTAATTACATAAACAAGGCTATATAGATCTAATGCAGCTTTACTTATGTCATTCAGAGAATCAAATAGGTGTCTGGAACAACTCTGATATATTTACATAATGCAAAAAAATATTATAGGCTCTAATATTTTTCACAAAATTCTTAGATCTAAATCATGCAACCTAAATTTCATCTCCTTCTCAGATAAAATCTTCCTTCCTCAATAATTTTCAGGAGAAACATTATTACAGCAAATACAAAGGTATCTTTATGCCATATCAACAATATAATAACATTAATATTTTTTTGTTTGTTTTTTGTTCCATATTTACACAAAACCTTAATATTCAGTTTCATGTATGGATGCCAAATAACTACTCTCTTGTCAAACCTGTCACTGCATTAATGTATAATGCAAAGAAAAATATCATACAAAGAGAAAAAGTGCACAAACTTACCTGTGACAATAAGAGGGTTGTGTTCATTCAGGACATCAGACATTGAGTCTTCTATCAACCTTATCCAGTGATCAACTTCCATGGTAATGCCCTCATATCGTGGTTCATCTGTATAAATTCTAGAGTCAGCATCAAGAATGAATTTCAGCATGTGAAGATAAAATAGTGTGACTGAGTGGTTTACCCATATCAGAATAATTTGATATCTAAACAATTAATCCCTATGATGTGACCATCACATCATGAAAGAAATTTGGCTTGAGGGGTGGGAAATCTGGCAGTGGGCGAGGGTGGTGCGAACTTGCCGTTGTGAGCATTTCAGCTGAAAGCCAGCCTCTCCAGAAGTGCACAAAACTCTTGGAGGGTGATTAGTTTCTTTTGGAACTAAGTAAGAGGCTTTTGCATTATTTCCATTGATAAACAAGTGTAGAATGTACTCTCCATGAGCCATAGCTGGAAGCGCACCATCTCCAGGGATTTTCATACAGAAAAGAGAGATATAATATTGCACCGCACACGAGTGTTCATGTGCACCTGGCCTACAAACCGCATACCTATCAGAGTGGACGATCAAGTAAGCCTAACACCTTTATTTTGGGCCATATGATAGCAATGAATCATCCGGATCCAATGGGTTAACATATATCTTATATGTATGCTTTAGAACTGTGGTTCTTAACTTTCTTTCGCTGCTACTCGAAATCCTATCCAGACTGACTATGGCAACCCACACACCTTCATAAAAACTTGTTTAAAATTCTAATTCTAAAATACTATAAATTGTCTATGGTTATGATTTGCTTAGCCTTAGATTAGCCTGGATTAATACTTTGATAACATTTTGAATAAGTATATTGGGGAAAATATTGTGCCCATATCCTTAGCAAGCCACTGAAATGGCTTAGTGATCCAACTTTGGGTCATGATCCAGGAGTTAAGAACCACTGCTTTAGAAGAAGAATAAATCTTGAGCAAAATCCAGAATATACAATCTTGAGCAAAACAATGTTGAATCATTTTCTTAACCAACTGCTGACGGGCATGCCATGCCATGCCCACTGTGAGTCAACTTGTTTGATTGTTTTTACACACTTGTACTAAAACACCAATGACCCAGTTACGAGTACTGCCTGTCTCACCCATTTATTTTACATTATCTTATTTTGTTATTATTAATGTTTATAATATCATAGTAATTATAATGTTTATAATAAAAATAACACAATCAATATGCATAGCTCTAGTAAAAAATACATTTTCCCACCAATTCATGGAAAGGTGAAATCAGGTAAGGGAGAGCCATCTATGTGTAGAGACATTTCACAAAAAAAAAAATTAAAAATCAATACATTTGAAAACTTGCTGCTATGTTTGGCAGTTCTTCACAGTTCATTGGCTTTTTAATTTTGCAAGGTTATTATTATTCATTTAAAGCACTCTCACAAAATGCTTTATTCCCAAATAAAGTATTACTACAGAATTATCAGCACTGGCAACAACATTTCACCAAAAGAAATTGTTAATATCAAAAGCTGCTACAGAGTAAAAGAAAAAAATTCTATATATACATATACATATATATATACATATATACATATATACATATAGACATATATATACATATAGACATATAGATATATATACGTATATATATACATGTATAAACATGTATATACATATAGATACATATAGATACATATATATACATATATACATATATACACATACATATACATATATACATATAGATATATAGATATATATGTATATATATACATATATATACATATATACATATAGACATATGTATATATATACATATATACATATACATATATGTACATATATACATATATATACATATATACGTATATATACCTATTCCTATATATACATATATACATATATATACCCTATATATATATATATATATATATATATAAATACATATATACATATATATATATATGTATACCTATATATACATGTATAAACATATACCTATATATACCTATATATACATATACCTATATATACCTATATATACATATACCTATATATACCTATATATACATATACCTATATATACCTATATATACATATACCTATATATACCTATATATACATATACCTATATATACCTATACCTATATATACCTATATATACGCATTTACATAACTATATACATATATATATATATATATACACATACATATAAATATACAAATATACATATATATAAATATACATATACATATATATACATATATATAGATACATATATGCATATAATGGTAAAAGAAAATCAGATCATGTATATTATCATTTGTTAGAACCTGAATTTTCAATGGCTATCAAATTCATGTTATAAGGACAAGTGAAAATTTGCAAAGCTCAAATGGCAACAGTGCAATTACGTAATAATACAAAATATTGAAATGATTTCTTCTTATACTCACATGGAAGATTTGTGGCAAAGTTCACTAGTCTGGGAAGAAATTCTGGGATGCTAAGAACAAATTCCTGGTTTATGTCTCGTAATGGGGAGAGACATTTGATGTTACTGCGGAGTTTACTTTGTTCATATACTGGAAAAAACACAAATATTAAAATCATGTGAGTTTAGCTTATTAATTGTCTCTAAACATACATGGCTCCACAAAACAATACTACAGTGGATGTCATTTCAAATAATATCATATCAAAGTATCACATCTGGTTACATTAAAAAAAAATCATTAATAGTAACATTTTATTTGCTTGATACTGGCAAGCAATTCATTTAACCAAGATAAAGTATCATTAACAGTAAAAACAACTGTCACACTAATTACATGCTACAATAGAACTATACACAAATGCAACATTAATAATAAAAACATGTATCTCAAATACTTACACAGAGACTTGTTTTCATAAACATCAAGGTCTGAGATGGTGACAGCCAGGATGCTACAGAAATTGGCCAGATACTCCCCATCCAACTGACCTATCAGGCGATCTAGCCCAGCTGTGGAAGACATTGGAAATATAATTGGAGAGGAGGAAGAAAAGGGAAATTTTGAAACAAGAAAGGAAAGGAAAAGAGGAAAGGAAAAATAATGGAGCTAAATGACACAAGAGCAAATTTTCATGTACATTTTATGACTTCAAACTGATACTTCCTATTACATATTTAGTTTTTTCTGGATTTTTTAACTCCTACACTTCTATTCCTCCTTTGGGGAAGTACAAATCTTACAACATTAATTTATGAAAAGTGGGTTGGGCCACATCCCATTTTTTGTACCTTTTTTTTTTTTCATACATCAGTACCATTTTTTATTTCTAAATAAAAGATAGTTGTACCTAAAACAATATTTACCTCTTTTTCAATATTCATATTTAGTTATTTTGTAACAAGGCCTCAAAGATTACCATTTTAAAAATTCCAGAATGGCATAATTATCCACTAATTCTTGGCAAGTTTTAAAAAAAGCAGGAAACAGATAGAAAAAAAAACACTAGTGCTCTAGCCACTGTCACTGCCTTCAAAATGATGCATAATACATCACCGTTAAAGAAAAAATTGTTAGGAAAAGGAAGTTTGTCAGATTTTACCTATTTCAAGAAAATGAGGGTGAGAGATTCTTTAGACAGTAAATATATGAAAAAAAACAAACTAGTAAATGCATTTTATGACAGTCTTAAACTTAAGGACTTCATTTAAAGCATGAGTAACATTTGTCAAATCACAATGGAAACACAATAAATAGAAAGGCAAATAAACAATTCAAGTGTGTTTCTTTCTACATGTAACAGTGCATCAATAAATGTATGACTGCCTATATAAACTCTTTTTTTTATTCCTCCAACACGTAAATAAGTCTACATCATGCACATTATCCTTTTTACAAAACACATAGGTACACCACACCTGGCAGGTAACCTCAGTCCACTGTAAAAGTCCTAACTGGCAATTGAGGTAATGTCAAGATTGTATAGTACTATATCTTTATACAAAGCATTATTTTAGGTCTGGCTGGGGAATTTGTTGCATATGTCTTGTAGTTTCTATACTCACCTTCACTGCCTTATTATTTTTCTGACACTCCTACTTGTATCTGTATGCACAATTTTACCACATTTGTTTAATTAAGTACAATGGAGCTACAAAATCATTCAAATCTAATATGACAGATGGAAGAAAAATACAGAAGGGAAAGAGATGTAAACAGCTGTCTTCCAATTCTTCCAGAAGTACATTAATCCATTGCCGCCGGGGAAAATGAACAAAAAATGGGGAAAATGCTGTACTCATTTTCTATATTTTTTTTTTGTGAAAAGTGATGCCCAGAGATTTCTGGTACTGTCATTGTTGGGTTAACAAAAAAAGTGCTGTGAACTTGACCTGATATTGGTATTTTTGCTCACATGACATTATGTATGATCTATGTAACCTAAGTCCTAAACATATTCCATGGCAGTGACGATGTTGTCTGACAATCCAAGCTAACTGAAGAGGAAATATCAAAGGTTTTAAAAAGTCTAACATTTTTAATATTTCGTGTTACTGCCACCAGCTTTGTGAATGCTGGGAAGACTATGTGGCATGGATGCCACTAACACCGCTGTTAACCCATTGCCGCCGGGGAAAATGCTGTGCCTATTTCCTATATATTTTTTTTAAATGTCTGCCCATAGATGGCTCTGTTAGTGCCTGATTTTAAATGGTGGGAAAAACGTATTTTTCACTAGTGCCATGAATATCGATGGTGTTATTTTTATTATAAACATTATAATTATTATAATGTTTTTTTACATTACTAACGGCAAAATAAGATAACGTAAAATATTTTGTAAATCAAAGAAAAGGGTAAATGAGCGAGACAGGCAGTACTCGTAACTGGCTCATTGGTGATTTAGTACAAGTTTAACCATCTATGTGTAAAAACAATCAAACAAGTAATCTCAGTGGGCATTGGCTTGGCATGCCCGTCGGCAATAGGTTAAGAAAAAGCCAATCACATTTTTTTGTTTACTGTAAATCACCATCATTTATTTATTGCATGCAGAAAAAAATAGAAAGTTGAAGCAGCAATGCAGAAAGTGACCTTTCAATGCCAAAAATGTTCAAGTATATAAAATAGAATCTAAATATACATAGGCTAGTCTCCCTTATTTTCATAAAAATATTTTATATCCAAGAAGCAGACAGTATGTGTCATTCAGAATTGGCAAGTTGGCAAAGCAAAAGAGATATAAAAGGAATACTCAGCTATACAAACAATAATAATCATATACATATTAATCTACATGATTTTAAAATAGATTTTGTAGTCTATATCCTTATATTTTTCAGTGCCAACTATTTTTACACAGAAATTCATGGCATCATCATTGTGATGGTATTCATGGCATCATCAATGTTTACATGGGTGTCTTGCTAGTACTTCAAGGAGCCTGCCTATATCTATCCATCAAGTTTCTTGCTACTCTTTTACTATCTTATCTTTGCAACCATGAACAAACTCCATAGGTCCTTTTTATAATCACTGAGCATCCATTTCTACAGCAGATGGCAAAAAATCTGTGAGGGGGGCCACATGGGCATTGTAAATTCATGTTTGTTGCTGAAATAGAGCACATGGGCAATGATTCTGTTCACCCTATGCGACCAACAAGTTGGGAAATGACCAATAGGGTAACTCTGAATTATGGATCATATAACAAACTGGTTGTTGAAAAAAGCACTAGTGTGACAGCACCTTAGAATGTTCAAATACACACAATAAATCCTAAAAGTATTCATAAAAACTAATGTCAATTTTTTTATATTTCCCTTTACTTTACCTTTCTCCTTGTTTTATATACTTTTTTTTTTTGGGGGGGTGGGGAAGATTACCTTTAAAATATACAGAATTATGTAAACATACAATGAAAGACTTTGAAAAATATCTAGTCTATGGAAAATCCTCCAAGATGGCCCTAGGAACAGCCCTTATGGGGCTCTTGATTGAACTTACACCAAGTAACCAAACAAGTAACAGAGTATAAAATGCATTTTCTGAAGATAAGCTGAAAAATATGCCCCCTTACAAATATCAGGTTGGGCCTCTACATTCCTAAGGGAGATTTTGAACCCAGTGCTGACAGGCATGGTATGTACCTACATGCCATACCCACTGCGAGTTTACTTATTTAATTGTTATTACACATAGATGGCTACATTTGTGTTAAGTCACTAATGAGCCAATTACGAGTATTGCCTGTTTCCCATTTACCCTTTTCCTTTATTTACAAAAATATTCTATACTATATTATTTTGCTGTAACTAATGTTTATTACATTATAGTAATTATAATAGCACCATCAATATTCATAGCACTAATAAAAAATACGTTTTTTTTTCTGCAAATTCAAGGAAATTGAAAACAGGTAAGGTCACAAGGTCTACTAATTGACTCCTTTGTGGATAAGCACTAGCAGAGCCATCTATGTGCAGAGACATTTCACAAAAATATAAAAATTGAGCACAGCATTTTCCCAATTTCTTATTCATTTTTTCTGGTGGCATTAAGGGTCAGACTATTATAAAAGCCAATGTCTGAAAAAGGCAAAATAATGCAATATTTAGTTTGTGTCAGTGAAACCTGGTCTAAATTATGACCGCATGGCAAAAATATTTACTCATAGATGGCTCTACTAGTACTTAACCTATAACCCCAGCATTCTGTACTGTCCAATAAAGATTTTTGTGCATTTTGTAGCACCAAGATGGCTCTACAAGTGCTTAGATACTAATGTGTCACTTAGAGGGCCATAGTGATTGTACTCTAATTCCTTCAATCTGCTGGGGTGGGGGGTTGCTTTTAATATCAACACTGATATCATATTATATTATATCTATATTTATCAAAATGATAGCAAATACTAATAATAATTGTAAACTAATAAAATGATATTTTCAAAATATTTTCAAAAATCAAGGTGCCCAAACGCTGTGGAGCCATCTGTGTAAATACAATTAATGAACTAAAATTGCAAAGTAATTTTGCCATATAGGGGCCATTGAGCAAGAGGAAGGAAATGAAGACGAGAGAAAGGGGAGAAATACAAAAAGAAAAGAAAAAACAAAAACAAAAACACAAACGTACACATACAATTCATGCATATATATCACTGATGTCAGAAAATTCCACTTACGTATTGTATTCAACTGCAGGGTATTCTTCCTCAGAAGAAGAAGATGCTCAATAAGTGTGATGGCTCTGGTGTATGTTGCCCGGCAGACCATGTGGGAGAAGAGGATCTGTAGTACCTCGTCACTGTCACTGAGCTGACTTCCTATGTTTGTGTCCTACGGAAGAGGGATGACTAAAGGAATTACAGAAGCAACTAAATTCTCTCTGTTTTAACCCATTCCCGATGGGCATGGCATGTACATACATGCCATGCCCACTGTGAGTTTACTTGTTTAATTGTTTTTACACATAGATGGCTACACTCGTACTAAGCCACCAATGACCCAATTACAAGTACTGCCTGTCTCGCCCATTTACCCTTTCCTTTATTTTATGAAAATATTATCTTATTTTGCTGTTACTAATGTTTATAACATTATAGTAATTAAAATATTTAAAATAAATATAACACCATCGATATTCATAGCACTAGTAAAAAATACATTTATCCCGCCAATTTATGGAAAGGTAAGGTAAGAGTAAGCACTATCAGAGCCATATATGTGCTGAGACATTTCATTAAGAAAAATTTTTCCCCAGCGGCAATGGGTTAACTCTGATGGCAGATTTTCATTTTCGTTTTTTTTTTTTTTTTTTTCTTCTTTTTGCATAAATACATACGAACATTATATGTTGAATTCATATGTATCAATATCTATATATATCTATAAATATCTATATCTATCTATCTATCTATATATTCATATATATACATATATATACATATAAATACATATATAAACATATACAGACATATATAGATATATATATAATATATACATATACACATATACAAATATACACATATATTATATATAAATGAATATAGATTATATAAATGTATATATGTGTATATTTATATGAATACATATATATGTACATAGATATATTATATATATTATATATTTATTGTATGTAATTATATGATATATATTATAAATTTATTGAATGTAATTATATGACATATATTTTAAATATAT